ACATGCTTCACGATGCCTCCGTGTTATTACTTTTCGCATTTGCTATTTTTTCGTGCTTTTTTCCTTAATTACGTTTGCTAAGTCGCGCTTTTATGTAGATAATTTTTTTTCCGGGGCCTTACCCTTGGTTGGTTTCTTTCTATTTCTCTTTAAAACACTTTTTCAAATAAGAGGGGGGAGGGGGAGGCTCGAGCCCCGCCATACCGCGGACCCTGTACACTGTGTAACTGCATGATGATTTGACAGATGGACCTGAAGTTAACCGAGTCCTGAAATACTTTTGAACGTTGTAACTTGTACGCCCTAGTGTAGAAAGATCATCGGCATTTTGTTTCTATCATAATATATAGGCCTAAAACAAGAATTAGGGCTAGTTTTGACCTGAAAACAACAACCCAAAGCTCGGCGCATGTCCAGCTGAACCGCGGGAGCTTGGCCTGTATACGGATAGGTGAGGGCCCTGGGTCCACTCCTAACTCGTGTTTTAGCCCTTCTTTCTTCCCTTTTCCTTTCCTTTCCTTTCCTTTCCTTTTCTTTCATTTCCTTTCCTTTTTTTTCGGGAGGGGGGGGGGCCGGGCCCGTTGGCCCCCCCCCCCCCGTGGATCCGCGCCTGATACCAAGTATGGTATATGTTCACACACAAAATTGTGAGTTAATCGCATTTTAGACACCATATTATACTGTTTATGATTATGTTAGTATAGACGACCGTTAGTGCCACATCACCCGTCATTGCACGCATATCGTTGTGCCACGATTGCAGGTCTAGTTCATGTATTATTTCCTTAAGCTAACATCTCCCACCACTATTAAATGACATGTTTAAAGGTATAGACCAGTTCTGGTCATGCGATTGCATATAAGTATTGGTGTGTACTGCAAGGTTCTGGAATCATCAAAATGATAAGAAATTTGACCCAGTCTTGGTAAAGTTACAAGCACTGTACACAGAAAGATTATATGGGGCTACGCGATATCTATCCAGTCCGGATAGATATAATAATTTACAAAATATATCAATAGTAGGCGGTTTCCCGGCGGAATTTGTATCATCATGTATTATTCAAAACATATTCTTTCACATTATTGGTAATAACAGCTTCCATTTCATTTTTTTGAGAGGGGGGCGTTTCCAAAGCTGGTCTATACCTTTAAGGTAAATTCTTCTTTCCATTCTTATGGAACAAAGAACAAATCCACTTTGTACGAACTTCATTGACCAAAACTATTCCCCGTTTCCAATGCGTTTATTAATGGAATTCAATTAATACATATGTTAAAAGCTTATGACTCGAAATTGATTATATTGATATTTTAATTGTGCTCTGCCCAGTGCAAAAAAAAATATACTCTTTTGAAATTTGATGGTTTAGTTTAGGTTTTGAAGTTTATACGAATAAATCTATACGGACTAGCACAGTCGTATGCTTACAAGTCACGTAGGTCCATTATACGTTGCGCGTTTGCTATCCAAGACCGTTAGCGCTCAGCGCATCGTCCCAACCCCCCCCCCCCCCCCGCCAGGATTTCGTTAGATTTCTAAATCAGGGCAGGGGCGTCACTAAAGGGGGTGTGGTGGTGCGACACCCCCCACCTGTCAGGATATTGTCGGTAAAATTGCGCTGCCGTCGGGGAAAATGAGAAAAAGGGGGAGGGGAAAATGAGAGGGAAATGGAAAGAAAAGAAGAAAAAAAAAGGAAAAGAAAGGCAAGAAAGGGAAAAAAACAAAAACATTCTTTTAAATTTAGACAAGTCGAGAACGGTACAACGAATCGTCTTCTTTCTTTAAAAGTTTAATGAAACGTCAAAGCTTCCGCGCTTTGCGTGGGCGTTGGAAAACTGAATTCATTTGGCGAGAATAGTACAACGAATCGTGTTATTAATTTATCTATTAGTTTAATGAAACGTCAAAGCTTCCGAGCTTCGCGCGGGAGGGAGAAACAGACTTCAGACAGGGATTAAGAGTCGAGAACGGTACAACGAATCGTCTTCTTTCCGCTAATAATTTAATGAAACGTCAAAGATTCCGAGCCTCGCGCAGAAGGGGGGGGGGGGACATAATTCAGTCAAGGTTCGCGCGGGACCTCCCTGCACCCACCCCCTAAAGAGCGCTTTTCGCATGCTCACTACCGCCCCCCTAAAATAAAATCCCAGCTGCGCGCTTGCTATAATACTTGTTTTTTCTCAAAGTTTCACCTTAATATAATATCAGCAAAAGTAAATACATTTAGGGGCACTGGCGCCGCACTTTTTCCAATCACGCCGGAACGATAGATTGCTCAAAAAGGTTGCAAATGTATAGCTACGATGCTGACTAGTCTTGACGAAATAAACCGTATCTATGTGGTCGAGGAAAATGACCATGTGCGCATTCGCAAGTACTACAGATAGTTCGGAGGAAAAATAATTTAGCCCCAGCCCCGTGCTTATAGGCTTAAATTTGTAGACATTGGCATTAATATATGTGTCGGTAATTGGTGGCTAGTTTTGTCGGAATTCGGTAGCCTCCACATCCCCCAACCCCCCCCCCCCCCCCCAACAGAAAAAGGTCTAGCGACCCCCCTGAATAAGGGGAGTCGAATTTAGGCCTCCGTCGGGTGATCACAACTATTATTGAGCTCAGCTCTCCTTGAAATTTCCCTCCATAGAAGAAAGATGCTTAAACTTAATATGTCTATGGTTCTGAACGAAGACTACTTTCAGACGCTGGAATATGCCTGAGACCCCCCCCCCCCCCCCCCCCCGCGATGCCGTATATTAGAAGAAATGGTATTTAACTAAGATTGGAAACTTCCATAGTTCTGACTTAGTCCATGTTTACTGAAAAATGAATCATGGCCCTCGAAGTTGATTAGTTACATGTATTAAGATCAATATTAGAAAGAAAATTAATAAATTACATGAACTAGTGTAATAATAATAATAACAACATTTATAATGCGCACATATCCACCCCAAGAGATGCTCAATGCGCCTAACAGGGTAAATACATTAAACATAAGAAAGTACATGAAAAGTTACAGAGAACGAAAATAATTTAACATAATTAAATATAATTAAACAACGTGAATTACATCAGATTGTGAAATACACTACGTCTTAAACTAAGGAATTCAGACATTAAATAGTTTTTCAAGTTTTTTTGGCACAAATTTTGATTGACTGACATTTTGATTGAATGGGGTAGGGAGTTCCATAACCGGGGTGCAGCAGCTGTAAAAGCTTTGTCACCCCAACTCCTCTTTTTTCTTAAATGTATTAGATTCGTTGATTTGGAGGAACGAATACCTGCACGAGAACTTGAAGAGATATTAAGAAGAGAGGAAATATATTCAGGGACTAGAACTACTAGATTACGATATGGTAAGAGTGGCGATATCGGGTTTTTTGTTAATTTAATTAATTGTTAACCATTTTTCTTTTTGCCTTGAAACTTAAATTTGAGTCAATAAACACTTGTGTCTTTCTTAACTTGTGTACCTCCATCATAGTCATAAGGGACTTTTAGATTTGCACGTCGACAGCTTTGACTGCAACGTGTGACGTCATTTTAAGTCACTGCGCATGCGTTACGTCGTCTCAGTCGGCGATCGAGATAGCCTATAATCTAGGCGGAGTGCCGAGCTTTTTTCTTTGCTGCTAGACTAACCCTAAGCAGAACGTCTGATACGGCGAGACTACGAACCGTGAGTCGCGAAGCGGCTCACCGCCTATAATCACTGGTCGTATTCATGAGGTTTTTTCGCACGAAAAATTGCCACGGATTCATGGTCGATAATAAAAAAAAAAAAAACAACGACCAAAACTAGACCAGTGATTATAGGCGGTTCGCGGGGGGCGCGTTTCCGTTTTACACCCTGCCCTAGGCTTTTCGGCAAGAAATTACACGAAACATGCTGTATCCGAAGTCTAAGTTTGTTTATATCGACGTCAAGAATAGCGAAGCCAAAGCTTATGTACAATTTCAATTGGGGATGCGAGGGTCTTCTTGTTCAAGACGGTTTTCCCGATATATTATTGTTTTGTTATCGCTGGGCTAAATTTTGCGAGCTGATCACGCATCCTCACGCTCTTAGAGTATTGCGTATTAATGGATAAAAATAAATGATACGACTAGGAAGATCAACTAGTATAGAGAGTTAGCTAGCGCTACGTGACGTTTTCAGAGTTCTGGTGGTGTGCAGAGCGCCGAGGCAAGATGTGGACGACTAGACTCCGAATACCAGTCGGTTTGTAAAATTTTATTGGAGAAAAGCCTAGGGCAGGGTGTAAAACGGAAACGCGCTCGCGGCTCACGGTTCGTAGTCTCGCCGTATCAGACGTTCTGCTTAAGGTTAGTCTAGCAGCAAAGAAAAAGCTCGGCACTCCGCCTAGATTATAGGCTACGATCGAGAATGCGTCAACCTTGATTTTCCTAAATCTAGTACATACAGTACATACATACATGTTGATATTTAAGTAGCGCCTTTACATGCTCAAGGTACTAGTATGCCGCGTGCGCATAAAATATACAGTTCCTCAGGTAGACAAAGGAACATCCCTTCCCTGCTATTATGTAAAATGTGTAGAACAGGTGTCACATGCATATTCACCTGTTAAACACATTTTACATAGCAGTGAAGGGGTGTTCTTTTGTTGAAGGTAGAATGAGGAACTGTATATTTTGTCCTCTTTCTTTGTCCGTGATGTTCATAGTGTTACTTCCTGTATGCATGTATATCGTCGATTGCAATCTAAAGCATTTATAATTGTAGTCAACATGGGCAGTTAAGTACGTTGACACGCATGATCAGTCGGCGTTCGTCGTATTCTCGTCCACTCAATCTAAAAGTCCCTATCGATTTTGACGAAACGAACATAATTAATTGTAACAGAGATGATGAGTTAATTTTTTTGTAAAGAACCAAATTCCCCAGCTACGTCAGAACAATCCTGACGTAGTGATCGGGACTGAAGGCGGGGGCAGTCTCATACATTACTGAAAGTAAAATACAGCTTACCATTTTGTTTGAAGAAATAAACACTCGTGAAGAATGTTGCACATTATCGATCAAACTGGTTCATCTTTCCCAACTTCACGGCCCGAGACTCCGAGAATCCCAACACAATTAAGTCCAAATCCTTCGTTGGGCAAACATAATATGAGCGCGATGCAGGTGGTTATCATGGCATTGAAATATAAGAACCTCATAATCATTGAGTCATTTCAACACAAATAAATGAATACAGAATGCCTATCTGCTGAAGCATGTGCTGAAGTATCGTCCCGTGTTTCGTATAGGGCTTCGGGAATATCTCAAAACGTCCATGTAAGACTAGATCGCTGATCTCTAAATGAATTAAATGTCCGAGTCCGCCGAATATAGGTAATATACGCCAATAGCATGTAGCGCATGCGCATATAGCAACAACGTGCGGTGCATGCATATAATTATAGAGGCAGCCTCTGTCCCATTTCATATTTTAAACTTCATTCGATTACGAAAACGAAAGAAATTTGGTCAAGTTCGCATTAGCATAAGTATAGTTTGATTATTCTTGTGAATAGCCCGCGCTACGTTTTTTTCACAGTGGAGGTGGGGGGGGGGGGGAGGCACCAATACAAAAGAGCACTTTCTTGGAAAAGGGGGCACCTGCAAAGGGAAACCTCAAACCGCAAATATATACAATTTTTAGACATTGGTATACCTACATTGTAATTTCATTAACAGGGATGATTTAAATGTTTGGCTCTCTCCTTACATGGTCCAAGATACAGATCAAGCATCATACATGTACTTTGCAGCTGGGTGTGACGGTATGAAAAATTATTTGCGAGCGGCGAGCGAAGCGAACGAGCAAAAAAAATTAGATTTGTGAGGTCGCAGTGGAAAAAATTACATCTAATAAAGAGAAAAGGACAATCCTGATGGTGCTTTAAGCATAATCTTATCATGAAAGACTGAAAAGATCTTTAATAAGAAACACAATTTATCAACTTTAAAAGCGAGCGAGCGAAGCGAGCCAGATTTTGGTGAAATTCAATAAAAAGCTCTTAATCTCTTTAAATTATAGGTGCACATTTTATGGGGAAAGGAAAAGGCCCGGTGGGGCAGATATCCAAAAGGAAAAGAAAACCTATTAGTAAAGAAAAAGGCACATGTCAGAGTCAAAAGGGGAATTACCAGAGGTGAAAACGTGACACTTATGACGATGTGCATGAGACAATTTTTTTCGGTAAAATTTGCATATAAAAAATTATGCGCAGATTTTTAAAAAAAGAGTTTATGAATCCTTAAACTGCCGAATGGCCGAAGTTTTGCCGATGCCTCCATGTTTTTACTTCTCGCATTTGCTATTTTTTCTTGCTGAATTAGGTTCGCTAAATTGCGCTTTTAATCAAATGTAGTCTCGCATTCGGCAGAATTCTTTTTAAAATTTTTGCTTGGGTCTTGGTTGGTTTCTTTCTATTTTGTCTAAACATACTTTTTCAAAACAGTGGAGCGGGGGGGGGGAGGATCCCCCAGCACCGCCGTAGCGTTGGCCCTGCATATAGTCAAATGGTCAAGTTCTGCCAGAGCTGAATAGCCCACAGGTAGATTCCGTGCAACATGCCCTTATTATCCTATATCGCCCGCTTCCCCCTCCCCGATGCCCCCCCCCCCTCAAACACACAAACAAAAATTATCACTAAAGCTAACATAAAACTTTGACCAGAGGCGGATCCGAGATAAATTAAAGAGGGTCCGATATTCCTTAAAGTTGGCTGACAAGAAAAGGTGGCCCTTTCTTGGACTTGAGCCCCCCCCCCCCCCTCCCCTAAATCGGCAAGAGTCTCCGACCACCTGTCTGGTAGGGCAAATAAGTGAGAGTCAGGCCAGGAATATACGTTGCACATTATCGTAAAATTATGCGATTTAGTTGATAGCAGTTGGTAGCGCGGGGAATTAAAAGCGTTAACATTTCTAATGTAAACAGTGCCTTTACCGAAATTCCCCAAAGTTATTTAAAGAAAAAAAATTATAATGATTTGCATCATTTATTCTGTACTTCCTATGTGCGAACTGAGCACGCCTACCACTGGCAACAAAGACGCGTCAAGATATTGTTTACATATGACCTCCATTTATAGAAAGGTCGATGGCGGAAATTCCCCGCTACGGTATATAGTGCACTATATCGCTATTCAAATACATGGTTGCTGGGAATTCCCACAATCTTGCTATGAATGCATGTCTCTTTAACTTCCTCTGAACTGATTGCTTTAACAAATCATTTTATCATATCCCTGTCCTTTATAATTAAAAATTGAATTGTTCATTTTTGTGCTTCACTATATTTGTATTGTTTTATGCTGAGGGCTACATGTGTTGATTGTGAACATGGTTGCATGGGTTCAATACTTCTCCTTTTTTCCACACTTGTCTTTGTCCAGACCAAGATATAAATAGATCAGATTTACCTCCTTTTATATTGATTTTTGTTAATATTCCGTATTAAAATATGTTCAATATCCATGCAATCACATAGATAAATAGTTTACCGAACTTTCGAGTATATTGAGGGTTCTTGGAGGATGGAGGACTGACATAGCTGAGATTCAACATTTTGATCAACAAAATGAACTTTGTCACACAGAGTAGCTGCATGGACGAAGAGATATGACTATAATTCATGAAAATATTGGAATTATAGTCTCCTTTCAGTGAAATTCAAACTGGACGATTTGGCATACCTACCGTCGCGGGGGAAGGTGTGTGTGTGTGTGGGGGGGGGGGGGTATACGTACGTGGCACACTATTTCGTGGCCTATATAGTCTCAGCTGTTATGCAAGAAATTGTATTAAAGAAGGTTATCAAATTCTACCTGAGGGCTGAGGCATACGTGTACAAATTTGTGAAGTTATATATATAGTGTTTGTATTGAGAGTATGCCAGCTTTGGTTCGATCAGCAGGGGCTGTGGGGACGAGGGACGCGTGCTCCCTGCCCCCTATCCGCTGCTGGTTTACTCGAAATACTTCATGCATGGCTGATCGTCAACAAAACGGAGTTAAGTCTTTTGTCAACTATGTTTGTTGCTACGGCAGGGAGCCAGTGAAAACGATTTCGTTTAATAAAATTTTGGAAATGCAACCATTACTTTAAACAAACAGAACTTTGTTATTCCTGGCTCATTTTTCCTCTGTTGTGATTTTCTCTTTGAAATTCAAATACCGTCCGCCAAATGACTTTTTGGTACCCTTTCTTCAAATTGTTTTTAATCACGCATGCGTGAAATATGCATCATATGAGTTGTATCAAATGAAATAGGAGGATCTATGCTTTACAAATATGTGTCATTTATTCATTATAATTGTGATTATTACAGTTATGATTACATATCGATAATTCTCGGTTTCATTTTTGGCTGGGACGCTCTGTATATCATGTTCAGGCGGATATACTGTATAGATCCAATTTTTTTTCTTTTTCTTTATGTAAGCCCGTCCCACCGACTGGGTTCCGAAAGCAGTTCTAGGAGAGGACTAGGACAGGGAGGGGGACTAGTCAAAATGTCTTAAAGATACTATGTCCCTTTTGCAGCCAACATCAAATTCTGTAGAACTTTGCAGGAATTATGTAGATGTCATGTATGTCCTAACTCCTATCTGTGAAATGTAAACGTTAGCAGCGTCCTAATATTCAAATTATGCAAGGAAACCCGTTTATTTGCTAGACTTCACTGTTAGACACTTTTGAGTGACTGACTGGCTTTTCTTCTTCTTTGGTAATAACATACATAAAATGAGCTTTAAAGGTAATTGAGCATTTGTCTACATCAATAACCCTCTTCTTGTAATGGCCAAAATTAAACTGATTGAATCTTTGCACAGCATAAAACGTACGACCATTCAATACAATGTTCTGAAAATCAGACTATTACTTAATGGCTCTATAGCTTTTAAGTCAATTCGACAACTAATAGTCGTTATTTTCCCACTTAAAGACATTTTCAAGCCCTCACCCCTTTCTTTAGGGAAGTTCTAAATTAGTATTATCTTTTAAATGCCGTTGGAATTTAACCTTTTCATTTTTTGGCCTGCAAATAGGACATAGTACTTTTAAACTAACCCCTTTTTCTTGATTATAACTTGGCAAATGTAGTAAATGAATGCAAGATTTCGAAATAACAAAATTTTGACGTTTGAAGTTATTTGTTCCACATCAAAAACTAATAATACAGGTTCATACAAACTGTGGAGCAACAGCGCATTACAGGTAGATAACTTTATTGAATTATAATTTGTCGATATAAAGCAAGGTGTCTCGAGACTGAGTGTATCATGACCAACGATATTAAAAAGGTTAAAATATGAGGAGCCTATTATAATGCTATGCCACCATAAATAAATTTGGAGAAAATTGAATCTTTTCAGAATCTTTTCTGAATACAGCATCAAACAACATTACACAAATGCGGATCAGAAATGTAAAGGACTATAACAAGGAAACTGATTTTCTTTCACGATAATGGTCATTCATTAAATTTACGTGAAGTAGAAATATGTGGCACAATGTGAAAGGTTATTATATTTTCGACAACATCTGTTAGGCCCTACACAAAAACTGTTGTATATATTATGTAGGTCATGGCGGTATGACGTTGATGGAAGATAAAATATTGTTCACGTTTTGTTCAAATCTCGAAACAAGCAACAACAAAAAACTTTGCACGATAAGGGTTAATAATTAACAAGCAAAAAAGAACATTATTTTTAGTGAAGATTATATATCCGTTTAAACATGATACGATTCAAGAATGATCAAAGTACATTCCAAATGCGGATATTGTCAATCAAATGATTGAAGTGAAATGGTGAAAGGGAAGGATACGTCAAAGTCACGGTCGGTGTGAGTTTGCCAAAGATTTCTTTCCTGAAAGCAGAATTTTTCAGTCAAAAAATAATAATTTGCAGTTAGTCGGCGATTCCAAAACCTGTTCTAACATGTACTGGTTCTCAATTGGTCTTGTTATCTTTTATGTCTACACTGATTGGACGTTACAAGAGACAAATATAATCTACGTGTCTTAAGAAAACCAATGACGCCATAGTGCAAATAATAGTCATAACAGTTGATAATTATTTGTTTACATTTCTAATAAAAGAGAACATTAATTCGTGTCAACTGTTTATATAAAAAAGACTGCTGAACATAGTCCCAAGTAGCTAAAATAATCGCGCGATTGTAAGAGACGTTACGCGAAGACACGAATCACAGTGTGTCCTTGCCAAAAAGATAACGTCCAATCGAAAATAAAGTAATTTTTCCTATTGCTACCCTTATTTCATTTCAATTACTAGAATAAATAAACACGTAA